TCCTTGACAGGGGAAGTCAAGGGCTGAATCAAGACGAATGCATGCAGCTCGGAAATAACGGCTGCAAAAGCAGGGTCAACATCCCGGATATGCTGCACGTGCTTCAGCTATTCGCAACACTGCTGTCTCCAGTAAACACAGATTCTCATCATTTCTCATCCCTAGTCACCACTCTCTGCTCCCTAAGAAGCATTCGTTGTGGCTCTGATTCACGATTTGTTTCGATCTGCGGTTGGTCATTTCTTGGCCTGGGAGCTCTTGATCATGCCACTGTTCCCCACCTTCGGTGTGGGGTTGTTAGATTTGAAAGTCAACTATTACTCCCGCCCTGCTCGCCCGTTGAGACTACCTCCAGAGACCGCCTGGTGTGCCCACCTACTCCAGAGACTACCGTGAGACTTGAGTGCCCAACCCCAGAGACTACCGTAAGACTGGGGACCTGAACGCCAATCAGTGGCGTGCTCCCACTCGTGTGTTGTTCCGTGTACGGGGACCCCACGGTCGTAACGCCAGTCAGTGGGTGGTGTGACCCCATGGATCGTCGAATGACCTGAATCGAACACTCGTGCTTTGCTAAGTGTACGGGGACCCCACGTCAGTAACGCCGGTCCCTGGTGTGACCCCGTGGATCGTCCAGCGTGTTTTGTTACGTGTAATTACGGGGACCCCACGTTCGTATCGCCAGTCGGTGGTGTGACCCCACGGGTCATCGAATGGCCTGAATCGAACATTGTTACGTGACGGGGACCCACGACCGTAACGCCAGTCAGTGGTGTGGCCCCAAAATGCACTATCTGTAGGGTGGGGATGTTCGAATTAAAATATTCTATTTTACCTGCAAACGTGAACCAGAAGATGCCTGCGATCCCTGTTTGATTCGTTGCTTCGCAACGATGGCTTGACAACGTGTTGTCTTCCTTTTGTAGACAGCGGCGGCCGATTTCGGGCCGACCATTCTACCATGATTGCCAACTAGTGGGGAAAAGATCACAGATCAATGGCATCAGCCACAACGCTCCAAGACACTGGGTGTACCCCCTTCCATGCAACGACGGCCTAAGCACAGATGCAGTGCATGCGCAGCTGTGGCTCAAGCCAATTCGATAACGAACCCGTTTCTTTCGTGGTTTCATGACTGCTGCTGGTTGGCAGACAGCCCCCTGAAGGCCTGACCAAGTGCACATCATAAGAGTGCACATGGTGTCAGTGTCGTGCATTCCGAGGACACTGTGCCAGCTGCTAGCTTGACCTGAAAAAATGTGGTTCTTAATAGTTGCTGAGAGACCAGACTGTCTTGAGCGTCTCTCGATGTAACCTTCAGACTCTGCCAGATCAACCAGAACAACGACAGCTAAATGGGCCATGCCCATCTCCTGACGTTCTTTCGAGCCAGGATGGGCTTTCGACCTCCACAACTCTTGCAGGCAAAGTGCGGGCTGAACTGAAGGAGTTACTTCTGCATCTTTGCTGCTCTGTGGTTCTGAGATGCCAAAGTCTGGGCAGGCTGCGCTTCTGTTCATCGTCCTCAGCTTGGAGTTGCTCTTGGACTCATCGAAGCCAGCAGAGGCCTAGCACAGAAGAAATGCTTTGCATCCTTTCCGCGACCTTCCGCAATCGTGGCTGTCAAAAACGCTCGCTGGTGCTGCTGGTGCGCACATGTCCGTTGACAGAAGACGGCTGTTTGCGCACCTTCGATGCCAGGGACTTGACGACCCTTCCCTTCCACAAGAAATCGACATCGAGGTCGAGGTGGCTTCACGAGCATCACGAGCCTTGAATCTGAAACTGCGCAGCGAAGCTGCGGCCCCACCACGAGTCGAAGTACTGGGGCAGCGTGCTTCTGCTAGCCGCTAGCTGGCCACTCACGCTTCTTTCCGCAATGCCGAGGGTTGCTGCATCTTTTGCGCAATCTTGGGCATCTGCCAGGCAACCAGTTTCCTGCAAATCACAACCGAGTCTACCGTGGACAGGGATCTGCCATGTATAGTCACCGCTGGCTTCTTTAGTCTTTATTGTTTCTTGGACACCTGCATCTCAAGTGAACTAGAACGTGGCGTTGCACGGCGCCATCAACATTCGCATGTCGCAGAGTTGTCAATCTCGGGCGCCACAGTGGGTTTTGGAAAGCTCGGTAGAACTTTGAGTGTTTTCTGCACCCCGCTACTTGCAAATGTGCGTCCGGAGTTCGGCATCTGCTAACGGTCGAAGGGTCCTAGTATCCGGTGGCGGCGAGGACAGCATTGACGCGCATTGCTCTTCAGACTTCTGGACGGCTACTCTGCGGAGGTTCGGCAAAGGTACCATGATGTCCAGTGCTCTGCCCAACCTGTGACCCGCTTCGACAGGCTTCTGCGGTGTCCATGCCCAGGCACAGATCCTTCTGGAAATGAGGTCGGAATCTCTGTTGGGATTGTGTGATCTTGGCTGGACTTGAACCATCCGACCTCTGAATGCTCATTCGCTCATGCTGCATGCTCATCATCACAAGGGGTTGGGTCAAACAGTCTCCTTTGCTGGAACTGAGGTTTGCTCAAGGCGCCAGGAGCTCAAGTTGCAGAGTGCTCTGCCAAAAGCGGTACTGTACATATGTCAATCTTGCGAGAAGCCCTGTCAGCACGCTGCACCGCTGCTCGCGTGGTTCGGGGCCAAACCCACTGTGGGAAGAAATAGATCGAATAGCTCTTCAGGTGCTCTTTGATAATTTGTCGTGTCAAGCGCGTCATCTCTCAAACTGCCTTGTGTCGAATGCGAGGGCTGGATCATGCTTTTCATTACATGCACTTTCTGTTCTGGCTTCTCATCTTCGTCGTAGCTCTGGTCCTTTAGTATGCAGATTTTGTAAGGTTGCTCATGCAAGACTTGATACATCTTGGGGTTGCATGTGGGAGCTATTTCAGTTCCGCCTCCTGCATACCTCCAATTGGTGGAAAGACGTTCCAGGCACGACACTCTGGACCGTGGCTGCCTTGGGAATTGCATTCCTTCAATCTAGCCGGACCCTCAAGAGCTGTTCTGGTACTCTCGTGATTAATAAGTTACTATGAGCTGGAATGTTGAGAAGGTGCAGTGAAGCTGTTCGTCGCATACCGGCGCTGCCCGTGTGCTGAAAAGCTATCGACCCCGGTGTTTGCCCGCCCCTTTGCAGCTATGTGTTTGTCTCCATGTCAACTCGCTCCCTCTGTCTTGGTGTCTCTCTCTGCCTGTCTCTGCCTGTCTCTGCCTCGTGTCTCTGTGTGTTTGTGTGTGTGCTTTGCAAACCCATGATGTGCCTGTTGCGGCAAGGCCACCGCAAGTGCAAGTGATAGCTCTCACATCCTACACGACGAAACAACTTTACCATCCGCGTCTTAGCGGGGTTCCGCGTGTTTGGCATGGCAGTGCGGATTTTGAAGTGAAAAAACTAAGCAAGGTTGTCCCAAACCCCATGAAGGCGAATTCAAGCTATCTTCAAGCAGGCCGTTTGCAGCACAATGTGAGATAGATGGATGGTACATGTTAATGAGAAGGGGGTCGCACCAAAGCAGACGCCTTTGTTTCCTTTTTAACCTATCTCGCTCGTGTCAAGCCAGCCAAACAGGCAAGTGAGCAGCCACCGCAAGCTTAAACCACATACTCTAATCACTCTAACTAAACCAAACAGAACAAACGGATGTAGGATCCACGTAAGCTCGTCCTGAGCAGGTCCCAAGTTCCATCTCCTCTCCTGTGGTGGGCAACAACAAGACAGCCGAAGCGGCAAGAGGATCGTCACCGAACCAATGTAGCGGCACAGGTTCCCCTGAGTCACATGGGAACCCGAAGAGAAAAACATCCTGATTGTCCCGAGCGGTCCGCATCCTCTGCTCGCCCATAATGGGCGGGACACGACTAAGTGTGAAAGCCCGGACAGGTGTGAGGGGAGGAGAGACAAGGAAAATCTGAAAGGAGAAGGCTTCCAGGGTCTCAAGGCGACTGTACTCCATCGTCGTGTCCGCACGCCTTGCATAGCAAAGAGATGCTGTGTCGACCGGCTTTTCACCCGAGGTGTGAAAGACGTGGTCTTGTTGAGTTTGTGAGGACTGAGTGGCCAAACAGGCTGCGTTTCCTTCCTTCGTCACAGAAAGTGTTGCGTCGATTTAGAGAGCAGAGGGCGTCTGTGGACCCCGCGGCTGCGAAGCGGCCCTGGGCCCTGGGCTGTGTTTGGGCTTGCCCCGCGCTGTGAGCTCGGCGCTCCCCGGCTCTAAGTTGCACACTACGTGCAAGCCGTGCAAGTTGTGCCTCTGCGAGCTTCAAAAGGATTCCTTAAGCGACTGGTGATGTGCAGAAGACACGAGTATTTGGATTCAGGAGTCTAGGTCCTTTATCAAACAAGCTCCCTTCATCTAGAGAGTGTTCCGCAACAAAGCACCTGGTAGATGCAAGAGGTGAAAGCTGGTGGATGCAAGCTGTTTGTCATTGTCTCAATGATCGCTGGTAGCCCCATGACGGACACTGACAATCACGGCGACATCGCAGCAGTGGCGCTCGTCATTAGAGTGGGATTTCAGATGATTGGAGCTCCTTTTCGTGAGACTAGAGACAAGTCCATGCTTGGATGCTCACAAATGCCTGGGGCTCAGCATTCAGCGGGTCGCTCAGCTGTGATGAATCTCTCAGCAGACCTGCAGGCGGAAGACTCACAAGCACGCGTCCGGTACTTGGTCACGAGTCAGCCACAGTGGGAAGACCGTCGTCGCGGGGTTGGTAGGGAAGACGCTTGTAGCACGGAGGTCGCGGAGGTCCCAAGGTTTCAGAGAAGGCAGTCCTGGAAGGGACCCGCAACTGCGCTCAAAGCCCGGTTTTAAAGCAGGCCCTGGGCCCCTGGCACGCGCGCGCAGAGCGCCCTGCGAGGGCGAGGCCTGAGCCAAAGCCGCTCCCTAAAGCTCCGACTCGGCTCCCCGACCATGCAAAGCTGTGTCTCGCCTGTGCCATGAGTTGTTGGTTCAGATTGGCGGGCGTTAGTAGTTGGGCAATCCGTTTCCATGGCACAAACAGGGCAGGTTGTCCCTGCCACGATGCCCCGTCGCATCGTGGAAGGGGTTCTCGTGCAGCGACGTGGCGATGTGCAGGTCCCAAGCCTGGGGAACATAGAACGCCCCCTGCCGTATCCGAAGCAGAGGCTGATCGTCCCCAAGGAGACAAAAAGCGCACAAAGCCCCAGTCCCAAATCCGATGTGCCTGACCGTGACATCATGGATGCCTTCATAGAGGAGATGAGCTTTCCACCAAAGCAAAAGCTCTTGGAGGTCCCGGGGAACGGTGCCAAGGAAGCTCGTTCTGCCAGCCCAGCCTCCGGGGGCACGGATGAGGACGGTGAGGAGTTACCAGAAAGCCTGAACAGCAGTCGGGCCTCGTCTGCGGAGCCCAGCAAAATCGGGAGAGCTAAGCAGCAGCTTGCTGAGCTTCTCGAGATTTGGCGAAGCAAGCGCCACTCCTGCGATCCTTCCGAACCGTTGCTTGAGGAAGAGAGGCAGCGTATTGAGCGGGTCCTGTTTGAGACCATGCCACCAGACCGGGTTAGCATTGTGGAGGTGCGAAGGGTCGTGAAGCCTTCACTACTGCGGAGGTTCTGCGAGGAGGAGAGAGATTCCCTTCAGAAGCAGGCCACCAAACCTCAAAATTCAGAGTGAGTATTGTTTACTGTCCCTTTGGCTCTTCCCTTCGGAGGTGCATTTTTTTTGGGAATTCTTTTTTTCTTTTTTTGGGAGTTCTTTTTTTTTTTTTAGGGTTTGGGGCT